CCCCGCTGAATACTTCCGAGAATAAATTAATATTCGGGACACTGTTAATTTCGCAATTTATGAAGTCTAATAAGCCAATCGTTAAAATTATATAAAAGTTACATTATCGAATGCAGATATTAATATTTCGTCGAAATGAGAGATAATTAGAGCATATTTTATCGTTCACGCTCTGAGGAGGGAATTACTTTATATATTTTCTAAAAAAAATTATTTTTTAAATTTATTACGTCACATTAAAACTTATATTACTAGCTTTCTAATGTTGATGCATCTAAAAAATATGGAGTACAGATAAAATATGTAAATAAGATTTATAAACAAAATAGCAGTGCATTAAAGTAATTTTAGAAAAAATTTTAATTGTTTATTATTTTTCAGAAATAATAAATAATTAAAGTAAAAGTTATGCGACGATATTTAATTAATCTCGATATTTAAAATCATATACAGTAGCTTTTATCAATTTATAAGTATACAAAAGTAAATTTTTCGTAAACAAGATATGTAAATAAAAAATTTGCATACATACATATACATATAAATAGAATTTTATTTTTACATATAAACTGATATTTGTTTTTCTGATTTCCTTGCATATTTATTTAGCATATAAATTTGTGTATTTTAATGATTGTTTGGATTATTCCCGGAATATCATAAGTCCTGTTTTCATGGCTCTCAATTCTAAGTAGCCATTACCGGAAACTGGCACAATTCAAGATAGAGGCAAGCTGGCGGTCATAATAATTGAAGTGCAGCGACTGTTTGCCAGACTGTTCGCCGACTGTCATCACTAAGATAGTGTCGTGTCGTGTCGTATCGAATAGCAGCAATAGAGGTTGATTCCCAGAATAATCAAGATCCTGACGCTAACATGAAATAACAGAATTCTCTACTATAATCCTTGTGATAGAAATAATACAAGTTTTGTTTGCGACTAAAATATCGATCAATTTTCTGCGGTGAAAATTACTTTAATGAAAAATAAAATACAAATGATGACTTTTCGCTAAAGTTTTTATAGTCTTTATAAAAAGGTACTCATCCCGAAAAATATCGTTTCTCACTTTGATATAAAAACGCGTCATCGATAACAACATAAAATCTGGATTGGAATCTTTAAACTCCGTACTCGCATTTCTCGATCGTTTCCCGCATGATTAAGATCCACTTCCGCTTTATTCTGGTGACGTTAAAACGCGATTGTTTGCGCATTAAATCGCGCTTCGTCAAAACGATAACAGCAACGCTATTAAAGATTATATTCCGCATGGATTGCCTTCTTTATAGGTCACGATTCGACAAGTTCCTCTTTCGGTGACCTTTTATTTCCCCGGTGACATTTCATTTTTCATTTCACGACGACTTTGTTGTTTGTTACATGGAATAGGCGATTCTGTAAAAACAAGAATTTGTGACATATGGTGATCGGGTATCCAAGGGACTTGACGCTCTCGATAGCTGTTTTCGATTTCTGTGTATGTAGATTGATTACTTGGCTATTTCTGGCAAAGTACATCAGAGAACGGTGTTCAAAACCCTATAGAATACAATAATAAATATATTGATAAAAAGTAATGAGATTCGGAATTAATAATTGTAACTGCAATCGATATAAGAAGATTATAACTAATAATAATAATTAAAATCTAAAAATAATAAAATAGAAATTTTAAACCAAATCATGATATATAAATTTTAAACCGAATTATACATATTGTGATCATTAAAAAATTAGACTTGATAAAAGTGTATTGAATTATCTTGATAAAATGAGATATTCTCTTACTTCTATCTTTTATATGTAATCATATATAAATATATATAATATTTTCATATATGTTCTTTTTTTCATATACTTTTTATGCATTTATTTAAGAAAAATAATAAGAATTATTGAACTAATCTGAAAGAATAATTTTTGTTTTTTAAGTAAAAAGTTTAAATTTCATCAAATTACAAAATATGCAAGAAAAATGTATATTTTTATGTATAAAATATTATATAATTACAAACTTCATTTTTTTTAATAAACAAGAATGTAAAAATTATTCTTCTAATTATTTTTAAATTATTCTTTTTATTATTTTTCTTATAAAAACAAATATTACATAGTATATACAGATAGATATATATATATATATATATATATATATATATATATATATAAGACCGAAAAAAGAAAGAAAGAGAAAGAGAGAGAGAAAAAAAGAACATGTATAAAAACATATTCTAGATATAAATTTCTAGATATATATTTATATGGACAATGTGCTAGAGTCCAAGAAAATTTTCCGCTTTAGATCAATCTTGAAAAGTCTCGGAGAGCAATCTTTTTCCAGCAGTTTCCCTTTATAGTAACAATACTGCAATACACAGATTTGCATTTCTTTCGCATCGCGTGGTTGCGCGGTACTTTAAATGGTTTACGAAACGAGTTCACTCTGAGAGCTCACATGTATTACTTTCAAGTCAAGTAGATTTGAACGAGACTCGGATGCAGCGAAGGGTTAAACGCAACAGTTACGTTTATCTATGCTGCACCGTCTGGCACCGGTCCTAGTAGGATGATATCTAAAATCTTGGCTCTCTCTCTCCCTCTCTCTCTCTCTCTCTCTCTCTCTCTCTCTCTCTCTCTCTCTCTTTCTTTCTCTCTTGTTCTTGCACAACGCACAGCAATCGGATAAAGTCGGTCGAACGAGAGTCCCCTGTGTCGCCATGTGCACCATGCGACTCGTAACGAGAGGATCGATGCAGCTATGTGCACACGATGCGGTTCTTATGAGCGTTATATCCTCGCGTTAATATTTATCTCCGTATAGCTTCTTTATAGCCATTTTTATCGATATGACACGACACGCAAAGATTGTAGAACCGATGACACATCTGTCTGTCCTTGCTCGAGAGCATCTCGAGGAGCAAGAAATCAATCGCGAAGAAATATAGTCCAATTTTTTATTTATTGATAGATAAATTTCCTTACTTTGACGCAGTAATGCAATTACAAGAGCTTTGAAATGTTGATTCATCTCGAAGAAAGAAAATTTTTGAATAATGAAGATGTGAGATTTAAAAAAATGAGAATTTCTATTAAATTAATTAGATTAATTTAATTTCTTGATGAAATTTAGGGAGCAACTTGAGAATCTATCCATGCATTATTATTATCATACTCTACAAATAATTGTAAAAAAAATGGAATTGAGTTGATTATATAAAATTTAATAAAACGCATTACAATCTTTATGAAATGGTAAATCTCTAATATTTGTATCAATGATGTTATTTGATATATGAATAGCTAGAGGAATTATGTTCCATATAATGGTTGACACAACCGCAAGCAATACACTCGATGCATTGACCTGCATTTATGTGGATTGAAATCCGCTCGACTAAATCTGTGTACGTAACTTTGTTGATAACTCGGATTATCAATACTGCAAAGAGCGACTGTTGCGTGATGTAATTCGGTTATCTCGTTTATATTAAAAAAAAAATCAGTCTCTCGATTTTTTTATATCGCGTAATTCCGTTGAAATTTTCTATTATAATAAAAAATACATTTAATCCCTCGATGAATACGTCTGTCTAAATAAATTAAGTCTAAATTCTTAAGTCTTCTTTCGATATTTAACAAACAGCCAATTGTTTAATGGTTGAATACTGTGCGATTTTAACAAATCGAAAGAGAGAGAAGAATTTGTGTTATATTACATTTTGTCTGAAATGTTCTGAAACGCTGTCCGTGAAAATCAATTATTTTGTTTTATTAAATAATCACACCGTTATTACGTTCGTGCGTACGATATCTACGCCACAATTTTACCGTGATGGAGAGTTATCACGATGATCGAGTTAAGTTCATTCGTGTAACTTTGTTAAACGCGATAACGAGAACCGATGTTCTCGTGCCGACCGTAACTATGTGGGCAAACGAGCAACATCTCGTCCATGATTGACACCACTGATTAAAATCCAATTGAGAACTATTAATGAAGCCCTAAAGTGACAAACATTAAACAAGCGCTGGCGAATATGTGGACACAAGTAAATAAAGTAGAAACTCGAACACATTACGTTTCTTGCCAACAGAATGTTATGGATACTGAAGTGTGTAAGAATAATCGATATTGAAAATCAATATTTCTTGTTATCGTAAATACGAGATTAATAAAATTTAATTTTGATAACGTTATGAATTATAAGAGACTTGGCGAAACAAATTTTAGAGGACGCGTGAGGAAGTTTATTAATGTATCTAAAAAAATAGATGTTATTTTACATATTTCTCGTGATATAAGGGTGTGATATTTCTTGTTATCATAAATACGAGATTAATAAAATTTAATTTTGATAACGTTATGAATTATAAGAGACTTGGCGAAACAAATTTTAGAGGACGCGTGAGGAAGTTTATTAATGTATCTAAAAAAATAGATGTTATTTTACATATTTCTCGTGATATAAGGGTGTGATATTTCTTGTTATCATAAATACGAGATTAATAAAATTTAATTTTGATAACGTTATGAATTATAAGAGACTTGGCGAAACAAATTTTAGAGGACGCGTGAGGAAGTTTATTAATGTATCTAAAAAAATAGATGTTATTTTATATATTTCTCGTGATATAAGGGTGTGATATTTCTTGTTATCATAAATACGAGATTAATAAAATTTAATTTTGATAACGTTATGAATTATAAGAGACTTGGTGAAACAAATTTTAGAGGACGCGTGAGGAAGTTTATTAATGTATCTAAAAAAATAGATGTTATTTTACATATTTCTCGTGATATAAGGGTGTAATATTTCTTTAATAAATTTCACACGTTATCTGCGAGCAGAGGGAGACTTAGTCTAATGGTACCTAGAAACTGTGAAGGTTTTAAAATGGATCTGAACTGCGACGTTGCGTTATGAAATAGTCGAAGATAACTTTAATAAATGGCGGCATCTCATGAGCGCCTCTCACGGAGCGAGATCTGTTTCAGGTGGAAGAATCGACCACGCTCACCATTACAACAACGCTTATCGCGCCCTGGATGAGACCCTGGCGTTGGAGGAAGCTGTCCAGGCAGTTATGAAAGAGGTCGATCTCACGGAAACGCTTCTCGTGGTAACGGCGGATCACTCACACGTATTAACCCTCGGCGGACTGGCGACACATCGCGGGAATCCCATATTCGGTGAGCCAACCTATATATTTCTGTCTTTAGGTTGTCGTTATACCTGACCGGAATAAATGGGACATTTCCGCCTCTCGGAATGCACTAATAAACGAATGATTAAATAATAAAACGCTTTTGCGTTAGGGGAAAATTGATTTATTTGTAGAAAAAAATATATTCACTTGAATTTTCAAAAGGATGCAAAAAATCGAGTTAATATAAAAGCTATTTAAAATTAGCAAACAACGAAGAAATAATGAATTTTTAATTAAATAATTGCTTTACTTTATAATTTTATGACAATTATATGCCAGTAGTCTCTTCATTGTCGAAACGTATAATTATATTGCGAGTTAAATCATGGAAATAAACGTGGATTCGGTGATTATGTTCTCATTGATAAATAATGACTCATTATATATCAATTCATTATTGCATTTCATTTGATAATTAAATCATATTATATACAGTTAATGATGGAAAATAGAAATTAATATATATACAAATAGAAATTAATATATATGTATATGTATGTGATTTCGTTGCACATTTTTCTTTGATTAAAACACGGAATTCTGGACTTTTCATAACTTCCCTCATCTCGGTTCCTGTTTCCCCCATTCGGATTTTTAATCATGCAACACGTCGGCGTAAATATGATACGTGTAGGTGTGTATGCATGTGTAGGTGTTAATAAACTCCGTCTCGACGACCAATTCCGACTGTCATAATTCTCTTCACCGTCGAGAAAGAAAGCATCCTTTTCATTGTTGCATGGCTCTGGCTTTTCAATATCCGGAAAGAATGCGCCGACAACCAATTTCTGCCCCAAAAAATAGTCGCTGTAGAATTATTAGATCATATCCTCAAATTAAACGAATGAGTTGCCAATATATATTATATATCTCTTGCTTTATATATGCCTATGCTTGTAATAGCTTAATACGATGCTTTCTTTCATTTTTGTCAGCGAGAACGAGCTAAAGTCGCGCTGCTTCTCAATCAGATTCGCCGAATCTCCAACTTGTAACTTGATTAAAAAAATTGCGGAGTTTGCGGTAATTGCGCGCTTCTCCGTGGAATTGAGAAAGTAGGTCAGAAATAAACAAGAAACAGACACAAACTAGATCGTAATTATAACGGTACGAGTTATTTGAATAAAACATTTAAAAATTAACATAAAAACAAGATTTTTCGATGCAAAAAATATTTCTTTGCTCCTTCGTTCGCTTTCAAATTCCGAAAAAAATTGGAGATTTATTTGAGATTCGGGAAACATTGAATTCTAATCAAGTTGAGAAATATTTGCATTTTTTTGCGGAAATCGTATTACAATATGTTACATTTTGACAAAAAAGAATATACACAACTAATTATTTACTTTTAATAACACAGTTTATTGACTTATATTTTGATAGTTGTATTTTTATATTGGCTGCGACCGATTTTTGTAAAACTCCCGGCGGACATGGTTTGTTTTGCAAAAAACACACTTTATCAGACAATATCTTCACTTTAATGCAATATTTGTACTACACTCGTGACATATTTTTCGACAAACTTGCTATTTGTCGGCAAACGAGAGCGTCGTGTAAACCGCGCTTTATGAAGGCCGTCTCTGGGGATGTCCCTCGGATGTCTCCCCTCGATCCCGCGCCGTTTTTCCCAAACTGTTATCCGTGAAAAGAACGAGCGACCCACTGATCCGCGACGAACGTCCAATCGGCAATCAGAAAGGCTCTTTGCCCGATCGCGCCCAACTTTTTCGCGAAGTTTAAGGCGGCCGTTGTCTCTCTCGTCTCGAGGTCCCGGCAGATGTTGACTCGAGATCCTGTAACTGGCGTCGACGATGCGGCCCCGTCGTCGTGATCCAATACTCGACGTGATGGCAGCGCGCTGTTTTATATGGGAACGCGAAGTTCTCTCCATCAAGTGGAAGAGGAACGGTCTTCTCTCTTCCGGCAGGACAGTTCTGGATTCAATAAGATCCAATCTACTTCGACAACTTCGTGAGCGCCCGTCGATCGTTCGCCCAGTCGCGGTTAAATTGAATCGTCGGGAAACGTAAAGGATGGCTTTTCGGTCCCGGCCGTACGTGCAGTCGCAAAAAGCCGGCTCGTTTCGTTTGTCCGATAACGGTCGATCGAAAAAATAATCCGAAACGGAAGCGCGCATCGAGAGGAGGCAGAGACACCACCGAGAGTTTTTGGCCGGTCCGATTTTCCGAAAACGGGGATCTTGAATTTTATCGCTCGTTTCGTACATCGTTTTCGTGGGATTGTCGGAACATCTTGTTAGTCCATTGAGAAATTAATCCGTTCACATTCACGACGGTCGCTTTGCACCGAGTTTGCGAATTGTAAGCTTTAGAGCACGGCTTTCATTGTTGCACAAAGCGCAGTGTTTGAAATTTAGTATATTTTTATTTTTATCGCTTTACTTTTTTCCGGTGAGGGAAAACATGTTGCCTCATTTCAGACAAACTAGCGGAATTCAGCAACATTTTGTCGAGAGAATTGAAATTAATATTTTAAATTATCCGCAGTTATATAAAACAATTTCAACAAGTTCTCCCCATATATTTTTAAAAATAGAAATAAAAAACTGTTTCAATCTTTTTGAAACAAATCCTCATTTGTTACAGTTATTCCTATTTATTATTAATTAATACTAATTATTTTTAATTAATCATGTAATTAAATATAAATGTGAAGCAACTTGAAAAATGCATGAACTTTCTGTAAAAAATAATTTTCAGTAACAAGGAGAGATATTCGTTTACGCAATAAATGTAATAATTCTCTAATTTTTAAATAAATTTCATTGACTGCAAGCTTGCGTAAATTTTCCCGATTGGTCCATAATAAATTTAATCGAATTACTCTACCGGAAGATCCAGTAATGCAATCCCTCATTATGATTATATTCAATAACATTCCGCATGATTTAATAGAAATTTATATACATGTGTGATAATAGACATAATTCAAGCGAAATAGCTTTGTTAATTAAACAATTTGTTCGCCCCTCAAATCGAAACTATTTTATAAGAGATTAGAATAAAATTACGTTTAAAACGAGATTGAAAGAGATTTTCAAGGATATTTTGTATCTCATTCTATTTTATATAATACATAAATAGATTGAAATTGACAAGAATACAAGAACCTGGTAAATTATTATTGATTAATTAATCGATTAAATTTCCTTCAAGTATGTAATATATTCTGCCAAAATATATTTACTTCTTGCTTTTATCATTAATTATAAAAATCGAATATATTCTTTGTGTAAGGAAGACGTCAGAAACATATAAATAGCGTTCAATAATTTATTTTTTTAAACGAAAAAAAAATTGTACCCCCGGATAATCGGAATAGTATTGATTCACTCGGGCAGTAATTTTTTCTCGTCCAGCTAACCGATAGATCTCGCGAAAAGGTTTGCACCCGTTCTCCGGCTTTTCCTATTCATGCGTTGATTGCCATCAATAAATAGCGGTCGGCGAATCATGCAATTTACTCGCTGCGACGAAAACATCGGGACGCTTTAATTTTTGCTTCAAATTTCGTTTGCATTTGTAATTAAAAAAAAGAAAAAAAAACAAACGAAAATCGGGTAACGTATCGACTCAATTCTGGACGTATCGGCACTTGGTTCGATATCGTGCGATCCCACTTTCAGATTGAAACCGCTAGTAATTTCGTATTCGCGAACCGAATAGAACAATCAGAGATCCCGTTGTATTCCTGACATCGTATGCATGGGGTTGAGGGTTTCGTGTCTATAAATCACGTGAGGCAAAATTCATGGCGTAGGGAAAAATTCAAATTTATCGACTAATCTGAATGAAGGATCGACGACGAAAGACTTAACTACTCCGTCGTAATTTAACCCTCGTTCTTACGACCTATGCAAGTCACGCAGCAGTCACGATGCTTGATTCGTCTCGGTGAGAACGCGTCGTTTGTCGCATCGAAATTTCGAAACGGGGTCGCGCAAGAACCTCGCGCATAATAAAAATAATGGACGTAAGCAGTGGCAAGTTAAATCACGCGCGGCTGACATTGTTACGCGTGAAATACGGTCCGGGAAGAGGGACTGATCGCGTTTTTGTTACGACGTTTTGCGACGGCTTGAATCGCGACGGGTAAACCGAAATGAATATGCAATCGTTCTTCTGTGTATTTGCTGTGATTATAATCGCCGAGCGGAAACGAATATTCCAGGTAAGACTCGAGAAAATTTAAAACCGGAATAACGAGACGGACAGCCCTATTCCAGACAAGTCACAACGTCGCCGACGATCACGAGAACCAGATTACGCGGATATTAATGTGTACAAAATGATTTTCCCTTTCGTCAAAATGTTGAATGACCCGAAAACGATGCATCTACACGAATCTGTTTAATAAATAATAATAAATAATAATAAATTTAAGTTGTTAATATAAAATATCACGCGCACGTGAAACTGTTTCTTCGTTAAACAAAGTTCCATCTTTGCCATGCGTTTAACAGTCAAAGATAAATTTTCTCTTAATAAAGTCGAGGAAATTTCGAAATATTGATGGTTTGCGGGTTATAAACGAATATAGGCAGCGTAAGTCTTTAGCTGAATTTTCGCGAAATAAATTGCATTGTAAACGCTGAACAAAATTGAAATTTATCGAATATTTGCATAATGTTTATAGAATATTATAATTGAACTCATTATCCGAACAAATTAGTAATTAGATTTTATAACGTAACTGGACGATTAATATACGTGGCGTATAAGTATAACATATCGCTGTTCTTCTTGCTCCCCCATCCCCCCATTTTGACACGTACACATTACGAGTTTATAATGAATAATACTCAAAACAATTATGTAAATTGACAAATACAATTTTGTTACTCGAAAATTCGATCAATTATTGCATATCGCGTGCATAGTAATTCAATTTCAGTCTCATCTATAATCTAGTTACAACACTGGTCGGGTCTGCAAACATCGTTTTTCGGGCATTTTGTTG